GAAAAAATCTTTCATTCCTTTAGAGACAGCATGAAAAGTCAGCTGAGTACAAAACATAGAGAGGAAAACAAGAAGAAAAGGGACAAGAAGAGAGGGACAAAACCTAGAACAAAGAATAGATGTCTATTCTATTAACATTTCTCTATCTGTTAATAAAGCAAACATTGAAACCTTCTCCAGTTTTCTCTTTAATTTATTCTGTTTTCCTCCTCGTGTTCCTTCTAATGTTGTGGTTATTTATGGCTGACTGCCTTCAGTGTTCAGCCCCCATAGCGATGCAGTAAGCTCTAGTGAGGATGATGATGATGATGATGATGGGGGCGGTGGGTTGGTAAACTGATCCCAGAGCAGCGCAGAGGGGTCAGCTGGTGAGCAGCAGGACGGTCATCTGAGATCAGCCCCAACAGAACCTGCAGGTCTGACGGATCCGGCGGCGGTAAGTTCTGCTGACTTTAACTGGATTAAAAAAATAAAATCTATTTTCCAAACCTGCCGGTTAGAATAAGAGCCTCTGCATAGAAAACAATACAAATTCTAGACAAAAACTCACTTAAAACCGATTAAAATACGTTTCTGTGAAAGTTTTGCAAAGTATGTTTAGATTTACTTTCTTAGAGGGATAAACTGTAAACATCTCGATATCCTGAAGGATCCTAAAGCTGAGAGTTTTGATCCGAACCGGTTCTGGTTTGATGATGAATTCTGACCTAAAGGCTCCCAGAGCTGCTGGTTCCCAAACAGATCATACTTACATTCAATTAAAAGACATTTTAAATCATTACACGTTCAGGATAATCAGACAGGAAATTAAGAAAAATAAACTTTAGATGAATTTATGTTCATGCTCCATAAACATACTTGATTTGTTTTAATTACAACTTCAATGATAATCTGATTAAATTACCAGACACTCGGGGAAAGTCCTAGATGGTTCCTTTCCAGCTGAAGCAGGACAGGAGGAGATTGAACCTGTGCAGAAATAAAAAAAATGATTTCAGCTTCTCTGACTTTATCACCACTTTGGTTAAAGTCTGGATTTTGAACTTAATGAGGACTGGCTAAAAAATAGGTTCTGCAAAGTCATTAAAAAACCTTTTTTCACTTTTTCTTCTTCCATCCATCCTGTGAAACTCGGTCCTCTAATTTTAGTTTTAAATAAGAGGATCTATAAAGAATGATGGACGGATCTAGTTCCAATCTCTAACCAGTCAAACTGGGGAACAGATCGAAATAATAATAATAAGGAACAGGGGAAAAACAAAACATAATTCTTCTCGTCTCTTTAGCCCAATAAACAAGGATTGTTTTCATAATATAACCAGAATAAATAATCCAGCAGTTTGTGAGGATTTTCTGATCCCAGATTCTCATTTATTAGCTGCTGGAAGTTTGTTATGAAGAGAAAAGAGATGAAAGAAAGAAGGAAGAGAGGTGAGGCAGATACCCTGAGGAAGCATGAAGGTGAAGAAGAAAACACATAAAACAGACCCATTCCACAGATAGAGAAATGTTAATAGAATAGACATCCATTATCTGTTCTAGGTTGTGTCCCTCTCTTCTTGTCCCTTTTCTTCTTGTTTTCCTCTCTATGTTTTGTACTCAGCTGACTTTTCATGCTGTCTCTAAAGGAATGAAAGATTTTTTCCAAGCACTAAGCTCACTTAGCTGATTGCTCCTTCCTGTGTTTCCAAAAAGGCCAAAGTAAATAACCCAGTCCTTCTTTTCACTGTAGACAAGCCATGATCTGCTTATCTGTTCTCCATTTTTCATTTGGATGAAATAATAGCTGCATGAATCATGACAGCAGACAAGATAGAGGAGAGCAGGAGGCGGGGTTACCAATCTACTCGCTCTGGAGAGCAGAGTTCGCTGCTTTTAGATGTTGTCTCCAAAGTCTCCAGTAGCAGAAAAAAGTCTCTAGATTTGGCGCTAGGAGCTTTTTAGAAATCAAAGTGCTAGAGGGGTCTGAAAAGTGGCTAAATATAGCGACTAAAGCGCTAAGTTGGCAACACTGCTCTTTGCATGGTTTGTTTTCAAATGGTTTGCTGCTGTCTGTTTGGACCTTTCTGAACATGTGCAGCAAATGGACTGATCCAATATGGTGGACACTGAAGGGGGGGGGGCTGAGACACACTTAATATTATCAGCGTTCTGATGGCATTTTAATTAAGACATAATTAATGTGCACAAATAAGGAATAGTTGTATTAACCATACATGGAAACAGATTTGTATGGGGCCCCCAGGAACTTTGAGCCCTAGGCGCCTAGTATTGCCTAATGGTAACCCCCCCCCCCATGAGGACTTAATTGACATAATTAGAAAGTGATTTCTAAGAGAGCCATAGTTAGGGACGCATGCTGAAATGATCTTAGTGTTTCCAGAACAGAAGGAACTAGAAAAGAGGAAGAGTGTGATTAGGATGAAGGACTGATGCTGTGAAGCGTGAAAGGACAATGATTGGTGTGTTAGGTTAGGAAACAGGAAAACTCGGATGTTTACAGCTGTCAGTCCTAAAGTCTGAGTTCTCCTCAAACAGAAGCTTCCTTGATTCTTTCCACAAAGTTCACAGAAGGAGAGATCTGTTGATGTTCCACTAAACCCTCAGTGGCCTAAATGACACCGAAAAGCTGCAGCTCAGGTAGGAATCCTCTAAACTCCTAAAAGTAGGACCTCAGTCGTTAGCTTGCAGGATGTGAAACGGGGAAGTTGAAAACAAGGAACTAATAGGCTACAAATCTAAAACATTTTGAAGTTCATTGACCTAAATTTGCAAATTCAGAGACCTACTTATTCTAACTGCATAGAGTTAGATGCCTTTAAATCAGGGAATAATATCTATGACTAAATTAACTCCATTAGAGTCTGTTAATTTGAAGTATATTTTTCTCTTTTTTTAGATTTACTGACAGTATTTTGAAAACATTGTTCAGCCTCTCAAAACCCTCCGTTTAAAAGCGTTTAGGAATAATAACTCAGAATGCATGAAAATTACACTGGTAAAATGTTTTCCTATTTAGATGTTAGACGTCGTTGGGAAGCTTAGATTCTCCACAATTCAAACACTTAGTCCATTTTATGGACACAGCGAACACCAAAGCAGAATTAAAGCAGCATGTCGAAGTATAGCCTGACAAAGCAGCCACAACAAGCAAGCATGTCTTCATTATTGCTGCTCAAAAAAGACCTATTATAAAAAAAAAAAAAAAGCTACTTTGAGTCTTGTTTGAACTGATGAAACTTGGTTGTTTTACTCACCTAACTTTCATATATATATTTAGAAACTAGAAGGTGTTACCTTTCAAATAATGCATCACACATGTAATCTGGGCTTATAGTTCCTCAGTTATTTGCTTTTCCATTTGGGTATGCAAAGTAGGCAAATTTCCCAGAAATGAGGTGGATGTTGAGAGGTTAAAGTTATTTTATTTTGTTTATTTCTGTATATCTTTTTTTTCCCCAGAAAGCTCTTTTTTTTCTTTTTGTTTTCTGTTAATGAAACTGGTGCTGCACCGGCTACTAAGTAGGGCAGTGGGTCACACTGCTACCTTGCAGCAAGAAGGTTCCTAGTTTGATTCTCGGCCCGGGGTCTTTCTGCATGGAGTCTGCATGTTCTCCCTGTTCATGTGTGGGTTCTCTCCGGGTACTCCAGCTTCCTCCCACAGTCCTAAAACATGACTGTTAGGTTGATTGGCTTCTCTAAATCCTCCTTAGGTGTGAGTGTGAATGGTTGTTTGTCTCTGTGTTGCCCTGTGATGGACCTGAGACCTGTCCAGGGTGGACCCCCCCCTCTCTGTCCAGGGTGGACCCCCTCCTCTCTGTCCAGGGTGGACCCCTCCTCTCACCCACTGACAGCTGGAGATAGGCAGCCCTCACCACCCCAGCAGAGATAAACATGACAGAAGATGGATGGTGGTGCACCAATAAAATTTAATTCTGTTTTGGTTTGAACTATTTAAAATGTTCCTATGTTTACTTGTAAAATTAAAATGTGAGATTATTGAATGAACTGTTTAATGAGGCTGTGCTCTGGTGGGACTGATGCATTTCAGAAGAATGTTTTTGTTTAAATTCCCTGCCTGCAGCCTGCCTGCTGCTTATTGTGTCTTTGCTTTGCATCCATATGAACCTGCTGCTGATGCAGGCTCTGTGTTTTCCTGCTGGTTCGTAAACTGCTGAGCATATGGGAGCAGTGGAGGACCGCGCTGCTCATGTTGGTGCAGTAAAGGGGCTGATGGAGCCTGTGTTGTGGTTGAGCAGGTCGCTGATGGAGAGGCAGTCGGTGCAGCGGGCCAGGGAGGCCTTCCTCAGTGGCAGGGCTCGACCGCTGGAGTTCAGACTCCAACAGCTCCACGCCCTGCAGAGGATGATCACAGAGAAGGAGGCAGAGATCGCCACTGCTCTCAAGCAGGACATTAACAGGGTGGGTGGAGTCAGGTGGATGGGAGGAAACACAACGAAACGTCCTTTTTAATCCTGATTGCTGACCTGTTTGGTTTTATTCCACAGAGCCAGTATGACACTCCGCTCTTAGAGCTGATCGGCATCGAGAACGAAGTGAAGCTGGCCATAAAGAAGCTAGCGCAGTGGGCGGCTCCTCGGCCCGTGGAGAAGAACCTCCTCACCATCTCTGATGAGGTCTACATTCAGCCAGAGCCCCTGGGAGTGGTTCTCATCATCGGAGCCTGGAATTACCCCTGGGCCCTCACCCTTCTCCCCCTGATTGGGGCCATTGCTGCTGGTAGGAGGTCCTTTAGGATCTTGTTCTTGTTCAGAGGTCAGGAAGCAAACCTCTGCTGAACCGTAGAGCAGCAGAGACCCGTCCCCCCTCAATGGACGGAGGTCTGGTCCTCGACTGGAGCGTTCTTTGCTCTAAATGCAGCTCTGGTTGCATGTTTAGGTTTGCTCTGCTGCTGTGCAGGATGTCTTTATGGAGGGAATGTTTGGTGCAAGAAAAATACACCTTTAAAAAAAGGAAAACTGAGGAAACATATTTTTATAAAATGAAATTTGAAAGAAGAAGCAATCCAGAAATGAAACTTTAAAAAATTCTAAACAAAAAAGGTTTGAAGAATAACTTAAAACTTTTCTAGCATCTTATTTTTTTCAATATTATTTTTTTCCTTAAATTGGATATCTTCCAATTTGATTATTTAATTTATTTCTACATTTTCTTATCCATTTTAAATTTTAAAGTTGATATTTTTAAATGTACAATTTTATTTTATTTTTTTTTTTTTTACAAATTTTAGTGTCATTTTATGATTTTCAAATTGAATTTTACAAATTACATTCTTTTGTAATTGCGTTTTCGAGATCATGTTCTCTTTACTTTGGGGGCGGGCCTTACTCTAGAGTGAGGCGCAAAGATGCGATCCTATTGGTCTGCATGGACGACATGCAGGAAAACATTTTATTGCTCGTCATCAAGGCTGTTTTAAAAGAATGCAGGTCGTAAAACTCAAACTGAAAAGAGTAATTTGATAAAAAATGTATAAAGTATGAAAAAAGTAATTAAAAGAATGAAATAAAAAAGGAAATTATGAAACTAAATTTGAGAAAAAAATGGAGGTAAGAAAACAATGGCAAAGTTATGCTGAAAATCTTTTCTTATTTAAGTTACTCAATTTCTAATTTTTTCAAAATTTAAACATTAATACAACAATCCCTCCATAGTCTTCCAGCATAGCCCTGCATTTTGCTCCATCCCATCACTTCCGACCAGAAGAAAAGCCTCCCTGCAGAATGATAATGCCACTGCCGTGCTTTAGAGTGGAGATGATGGTAGCATTAGAGTGACATGCTACCATTAGCTTTATGGTGATGCAAGGTTACATCCACGTGTTTGGATGATGATGTCACAGAGTCCATCAGGATGAGATTTCCTTTCATTTTGTTTGACCAGTCTGCCATCAAGATGATGGGATCTGATGAGCTAATCTAACACAATACTTAAGATCAATACCAACTAAAAAACAGATCAGATATATGACCTCACCATCTAGCCTGGATGGAAGAGAAACGTCTTCAAACTTTGAAACAAAGTCCAGTGGATTGATTTGAACTTTTTTGGAATAACTGACCTGGATGACAGGCATCATCACCGTAAACAGCATCCTTCAATGAATAAAAGTTCACCTTTTCACTATGGTCTTGTTCCTTAGTGAATTTTAAAATAAAGGCACGTCTAAAAGACGATGATGTCACTGAAGTTTAAATTTCTCTTGGAAGTGGTTGGATTGTTGATCCTCTAACGGATGTGGGCGGAGTCATTGTAACCGCTCCAGGGCTTAGCTTCGTTTAGCCTTTAGCATGTCTGCTAAACCGTAGAATCTCCTTCTTCCTCATCTTTCTTGCATCGTCTTCATCACTCATGGCGGAATGCAAGCATGGTTCTGCTGGTTGTCTTTCAACACTTTTTTCTTTGCAGCGGTCCATCAGAGGTAGATTTATAGAGTTCAGAAACTCTCCTGAGCTGAAGATTTCTGCAGTTTTTCTTAAAAAGATAATCAAACTTTTGGCTTCTTCTTTGATCCATTCACTCATTATGTAGTCAGTCTAGGAGCAACCGCAGTACATGGGTGTCCGCCTTCAGTCTAGGTGGATGTCCTTGTCCTAGTAGGTCTGTCTGAATAGAGCCTTATTCACTTCTCACCATCGTTCTCCCTGATCTGTCTGCTGTGTTTCTCGGTCTTTATGGTTCTGTTTCTTCCATGATGCTCTCTAGCAAACCTCCCAGACAGAATGTTACCCTCAGGCCGACTCTCTAAGCCAGGCATCCCCAAAGTCGGTCCTGGGGGGCCGCTGTCCTGCAGGTTTTTGAGGATTCTAAGCTTTAGCTCAGCTGATTCTGATGATTACAGTTCAGCAAAAGCCTGTTAATCAGCTTTCAATTAAAACCAGCCGTACTGAAGCAGGAAACCTCCAAAAGCTGCAGGACAGCGGCCCTCCAGGACAGCGGCCCTCAGGGACAGCGGCCCTCAGGGACAGCGGCCCTCAGCGGCCCTCAGGGACCCACTTGCCTGATCTGAGGAGTCTGCTGAAGGATCTTTTGGTGACGTCAGACTAATGTTAAACCTTCAGTTCTTATTTGTAGAGATGCTGTAGACCCTACATGTTCCGTCACTTGATGAAGACAAAGGTCATGACATATAAATCCCTTTCATCCCCATCCTCCTCCTCCTCCTCCTCCTCCTCCTGCTCTGCGTCACTCAGTGATGTCATCCCATTCACAGGCAATGCAGCCGTGGTGAAACCGTCAGAGCTGAGCGAGTGCTCGTCCCTCCTGCTCCGCGCGCTGCTGCCGCGCTATCTGGACAAGGTCTGAACACCCACCGCTGTTGTTGATAAGCTATCTGAGGACAAAGAGGCTGTTTAACTTCCACGTGGCACAGCTGCTCACTCAGATTCATAGTTTCTGCTGGTTTGCCTGCAGGATCTCTACCCGGTGGTGACGGGCGGAGCGGCAGAGACCCAGCAGCTGCTGAGGCTCAGGTTCGACCACATCTTCTACACCGGCGGCAGCACAGCTGGCAAACTGGTGATGGAGGCCGCGGCCCGCCACCTCACCCCTGTGACCCTGGAGCTGGGGGGGAAGAGCCCCTGCTACATTGACAAGGACTGTGATGTCAGGACGGCCTGCCGGTAACGCTCCCATCACTAGAAGATCCTCTGAGGGGGAAAAACTCAGAACCTCTGAGGCCGGTGGATGGTTGGTAACCAGGAGGCTGTGGTTTATAATGGGAGCATTGGGAGCAGCTTTCAGAGGACTGCTGCTTCGTCTTATCAGTCCGCCAGTCATTTTCCACACCTTTAACCTCTGAGTTACTGGGGCCTGGTGGAGACCTACCTTCCAGGGGGGGGGGGACTTTTACACCAATGAATTAAACCTGTTTAATTTAAAATACTTGGAAATGTACAGAAAATCTAACATTTAAAACACAAGTTATCTAAAAATAAATAATCACAGAGCATCTCAGTATGCATGAGCCTCAGCACAGCCTGTCACCCAGCTGTCAGTGGGCGAGAGGAGGGGTCCACCCTGGACAGGTCTCCAGTCCATCGCAGGGAGACACAGAGACAAAAAACCATTCACACCTAAGGAGAATTTAGAGAAGCCAATTAACCTAACAGTCATGTTTTTGGACTGTGGGAGGAAGCTGGAGTACCCAGAGAGAACCCATGCATGCTCAGGGAAAACATGCAAACTCCATGCAGAAAGATCCTGGGCTGGGAATCAAACCCAGAACCTTCTTGCTGCAAGGCAGCAGAGTTACCCACTGCACCAGTGAGCAGCCCAGGGTAACTCCTTTTTGGAATCGTCATCCAAAATAAAATGCAATAATATAAAATTGTAAAAACTGAATCTCAGAAGAAGAACGAAGGCGGTACTTTACTTTAACTTTGTCTTAAAAATAAATCTGTTAAAAATTGAATTAATGTCTAAAGTTATAGTGAAAACTTACAGGACAATATTTTCACCATCCTAAACCTATTTTCTTTTCATTGTACATAGATACACCTCTGTTTTTTGCTTAAAGCTGTTATTATTTGAGAAGGTGATTTTTAATTTAGAGTTTCAAAGTGTCATAATTTTCTAAAGATGAGACCCAAACGCAGGCAAACCAATTCAGAGAGACCAGGGGAAAGGTTTAACAGGTTTTACTGAAGAGATAAAGTACAGTGCAGAGTTGCTCAGTACTCTGATCAGCCGGAACTGGAAGGTGAGGGGAAGATACAACGATTAGTTCAGGCTCAGTGGGAAATTTCATTCATGGATTAGGAGAAGAGGATCTGGTTGTTGACTCACGTCTCCAGAGAAGTAGTAGAATCCTTTACTCCAATCTGTGTGCTGTTTTCCAGAGTTAGTCTGATTTGGTGGAGGGCGGACAGGGTTTACCCAGAACTCGGTCGGTTGTAGGTGAATGGAGAAACTGATTGCCACTCAGATTTCCTGCGTCGTAGTGGAGATGATTCCCTTGCTCAGAGTGTAAACTCAACTTCCTCTCAGGGAAACTGGATCCAAACCTCCAGTTTGAATCCCCAGCTCAGTTTGAGGCTCAGTTGATCCCTCCAGGGAGTTAGGGTCCGAAAGATCCAGTTTGCAGGATGACTTCCTGTCGAGAGGCAAAGACAAAAACAAAGTAAAAAACAGGTTGACAAGAACTCAGTCTTACTCAGCAAAACTCACCTTGGCTAGAGTACCCAAAACTAGCAAACACTCTGGCGATGAGGTAGTGGCAGTCAGCAGTGTAAGAGCACTCCGTTAACGAGGAAACCGTCAGCAGGTGTGTGAGGATGCGGACCAGAACCAGGCGCCTCCTGCTGGTGGAAGGGAGACAAACACAAAAACAAACACACAGACTGGAGCCCTGACACAAAGTTATTGCATATTTAACTTTTTTATGTTACGATAATTTGAATATGAATGTCTTTCATTGGGTTCCATATTCCTGGCGGCGCCCCTGCTTATACGCAAACGATGAGCTGCACTGGCTCAGTCAAGGTGTCAAGAAATACTATTATTGGCAGAAAATGGCTGATTAGATAAAAAGTGCAGCAGATCAGCCTCTGCAGCCACTTTAGGAATAAACATTTAAGCGGTAAACCTTTTTAATTCAATTTTCAATTCAGTTTATTTCTATAGCTTCAACTCACAACACGTCATCTCAGTTCACCAGATCATCCAGTCAGATTGATTCAAAGATTTCTATCTAAGGAAAACCAGCTGATTGCATCGACTCATTGACTCTTCAGCAATCCCTCACACTAAGCATGCTTGTAGCGACAGTGGAGAGGAAAAACTCCCTTTGAACAGGAAGAAACCTCCAGCAGAACCAGGCTCAGTGTGAGCGGCCATCTGCTGAGGCCCACTGGGGTTCAAGAAGACAGAAGCAGACATAGAAAAAGAAGCATAGATACAAAAGGCAACTGTCAACCAGCTCCACAGGCGGCCCCGTCCAGGAAACACACAGCCAGGCAGACGTTTGAACATAAATGAGCTGTTTTCCAAACACAGCAGCTTCAGCCAATGAGGAAATGAAGTTTCTGTAACAGCTCTGACATTCTGCAGGTTCTGCTGGTTTATTCTGAAACGCTCACTAAGGATGGTTGTCATGTCTGTTTCGTCTGCAGCCGCATCACTTGGGGAAAGTTTGTGAACTGCGGCCAGACGTGCATCGCTCCAGACTACATCCTGTGTGAGCCCTGCATCCAGGGCCGCGTGGTCGAATGCATCCGGCAGACTCTGCTGGTCAGTAAGGCCTCCGCCGGGACCTGCTGCTCCTTTAAGGAGGACCTGCTTTAACATGGCTGCTGCTTTAACCTCTAACAGGAATTTTACGGCGCTGATCCCAAATGCTCGCCTGATTACGGCCGAATCATCAACCAGCGGCACTTCCACAGAGTCATGAGTCTGATGGAGGGATACACGCCTGTAGTGGGGGGTCAGAGCGACTCCTCCCAGTGCTACATCGGTGAGCGGAGGCATTTTAACACCATGTTGATGTTTTATTGTTTCATCCTGGTTTGTTGAGCTGCGGCCTGACGTTCACAGCCCCCACGGTGCTGAAGGACGTGCCCCCCCACTCCAGGCTGATGCAGGAGGAGATCTTCGGTCCCGTCCTGCCGATAGTCACAGTGAGTGACATGGATGATGCCATCAGCTTCATCAATGAGAGGGACAAACCCTTGGCTCTCTACATCTTCTGCTCAGATAAGAAGGTGGGGCTCAGCCAGCAGGGAGCAGATCTTCAGCGTTTTCTCCTTCTAATGTTTCTCCTCCCTCCCTCTCTGACCAAGGCAGTAAAACGGATGATTGAGGAGACCACCAGCGGAGGAGTGACGGTTAACGATGTCATGATGCACTACACGCTCAACTCGCTGCCATTCGGGGGCGTCGGTGAGAATAATAATCATAACCTGATAAAAAAAGAGACGTTCAAAGTCTCAAGTTAGAGTAAAAAAGTAGAAAAGAGTTACTCAGCTTTATTTATAAAGCTTGTTAACCCTTTATAGGGCAAGTTAGCCTTCTTGATCACCTGCATACCCCTTACAAACGGAGCAAAATGTCAGTGCCAGTATCAGCATTAATGCCTCTAAGGTCATGATAGACCAAAAAAATGTGTTTCTTTCACTCTTAGAGTTTTTTTCATGAATTTCTTCTAGAAGCACTTTTGTTATTTTTCTTAATACATTCAGGCTAGTTGGCGTTTCTTGTTATTAAATTGACATTAATTTTTAACCATCAAAATATCAATAATTTTTAAATGTTACAAAGGTAATAAGGTCTTGTCCTGATTCCAGTAACAATATTGGCTGGAAATATGATTGGTATTAACCATACATGTAAGCAGAGTTTTATGGGGCCCCCAGGAACTTGGGGCCCTGGGCACCTGCCTAGTATTGCCTTAAGGTAAATCCCTCCCCTGGTTTCTGCCTTGAACTGCATTATTGATGTGAACAGAGTCTTGCTTGTGACCCCTCCAGGTCAGAGCGGCATGGGTCGTTACCATGGCAAACACACCTTTGACCAGCTGAGTCACCAGAGAGCTTGCCTGATCCGCTCGCTGAACATGGAGAGCGTCAACCTGGCACGCTATCCTCCTCAGGACCGCCGGCGGGCGCGGCGGGCCCACATGGCCCTCCGGTCTCCCCTGATCGACACGTCCAAGCGGACGCTGGTCTGGGCCATCGCTGCCACCATCCTGGGCGCCGGCCTGCTGATCACCCTGCTGGTCATCCTGCTCATAGCCTCCGGCCTTAACTGCACCTGCTGGTACTGGAGAGGCTTCTACAACTAGACCAGCTGCACAGCAGCGTCTCACAAACAAACTATTTCCAACAAAAGAAAAAAGCTGCAGCGATTCTACACACAGATCTGTAAGGAGTGGAGATTAAAAACTCTTGGTCTAACTTTTGATTTCTGTTTGAGGTTTTTGCTCAATAAACTGATCTCCATCACTGGATGCTCTTTATTTTCAGGGAAAATTACCTTTTAAATAAACCATTCATTGTATGTTTTGTTCCAAAATTGGAAAACATATCATCCGTCTGCAGAGACTCTCTGTACTTAATGTTTAACATCCTATAATGGAAAAAACTAATATTTCTATTTGGTCACATTACAATCATCCCCTTTAGTGAATTTTATTGGATTTTATGTGATAAACAAAAAGCTGAGTATAATTGTGAAGTTTGTTTTACAAATAAAGATCTGAGTGAAAATGAGAAAATAATCTTGATGTGTTTTTATCTTCTGCTTTTTTCTATAACCTATGATTATAATCCAGTGTAGTGACCTCCCTACAGAAACTTTAAAAGTCTGAGCCCTGCCTAAGTTTAATTTAATGAATTTATTTCTTTGATAGGGACAGTGCACATTAATACATTTTCCTGCAAATGCACCAGAATTAACCAAAAGGCTATTTTTCATCTGTTGTCCTGGACAGATATTAAATTGTCTAAACCTAAAAACACAACGATGAGAATTTTACAGTGAAGAATATAAAAAGAAATAAAAACAAGTATAACTCCTCAAAACTTGTTTAAAAATATAGAATTAATGTTTGCTAGACTATAGATTTTAGGTTAATGAAATAGAATGAAAATAATTACACTATATTTATACACAGTAGAGTGATGGCTCCGCCTTTGGTGGGTGTAACTCCAGTATCAGATCCATCCATCTATTTTTCTGGAATATTTATCCCCACTGGGGTCAGTGGGTGGGAGGCGGGGTCCACCCTGGACAGGTCCCCATTCCATCACAGTCAACACAGAGACAAACAACCATTTAGAAGCCAATTAACCTGACAGTCATGTTTTTGGACTGTGGGAGGAAGTCGGAGTACCCAGAGAGAACCCACACATGCTAACTCCATGCAGAAAGACCCCGGGAATTGAACCCAGAACCTTCTTGCTGCAAGGCAGCAGTGCTTCCCACTGAGACACTGAGCAGCCCACGTACCAGAATAATTTTATTAATCCCTTGCAGGAAATTATTTTCTCGCAAGGGATTATTTTTTTCTTGAAATTATTTTTTTCTCCTTTACAGAAGGGGAAAAAATTGTAAGAAAAATGACATATAATAATATAGAAAAAAAAATTAAATTACACCCCTCCCATATAAACAGTTTAAAATAAGATATAAGAATAAAATAAGGATCACATTAAAAACAATCAACAGAATTTACAACTTTCAAACCTGCTCAGTACTTAATGACTGTTATCGCCTAAAGTGAATTTCTATTGGGGTTTGTCATGGGAAAAAAGTATTCAACTATTCACCCCAGTTAAATAAGCGGACATCGATGGATTTCACTCAGTGGGCACTTTATTTTATCTTTCAAAGAAAGAACAGTTCATCATACAATTCTATTCAGTTTATTTCTATAGCTCCAATTCA